CGAATCGTATTCTTAAAAAGAGTGTGTTATCGTCGTTTCATCGACAGGCTTCCGCGAAGGCCGATCCCGTTCGCTTACGGACACGAATCATTGCATGCGTGTGCAATAGCACGGTAGCCTTCATTTGTTTCGTCGTGTGGAACTGCATTTTTTGCCACGACTGATGCCAGACACCCGAAAAGTTGGACCGGAAAAGTCATCTCATCAGTCATCGGTTTCAGGTTCGCGTGGAAGTGGCCTAAGGAGCTCAAATTCCAAACTCAAAGCAGCGTTATATTCCTACGACATATCAAAACTGGGTCGGTACAGCGGCTTGCTGGATTGCAAAACACTACGCGAGTGGGGCTTTTCGGAGGAAGCCTTCTTCGTGACTGGAGACAGACAGCAAAGGAATTTGATTTTATTCATTATCTTCGTGAAATCAATTGCATTGTCAGTAAGCACCTGCAACAAGCATCAGGAAAATCATTGTACACATTACTTGATTCCATGGTTAATGTGTCTTTGTCGTCGTCTTTGTCGTCGACACCGCACAAGAAAAAGAGACCCATAACATCAATGGCCCCGCTGACAACCAACTTTCTCATTGTTTTTTTGGCATTGATGGTTCTGGCTTGCCTGTGGGTGAATTTGATGTTTTCGATTCCCCTGTCGGGCTCGCCTCCGCTCACAGCAGATTGCAACGGCAGTTCCAAGCGTCGCACTTCGGAAATTCGTGGCTTGTCTTCACAGCAGCCTCTTCTAGCCTATAACGGGAGCTCGATGGCAACGGTCATGGGCATGGCTACAGGGTACGACTTGGCTGTTTACAAGCAGTTTATTGGTTCACTTCGTAGGACTGGATACAGCGGAAATATTATTTTGGTAATTTCACCAGATCCAGCACCTGGTGTAGAGGATTACCTTTCTAGCAACGGGGTAGTAATGAAACGGCTTCAGAAAGTGGAATGCGACACCCAAATTATTGCCAACCAAGAGAACGCTGCTTATGCTAATTCTCACCAAAAGGAGGTCATGACGTGTGCGCACCCCTATCCTAACTTGAAGGTACGATGGGGTCGCTTTCCAATTTTGCGGGACCACCTAGAAGCTTGCTCGACATGCACAGGCCCTGTTTTAGTTACAGATGTCCGGGATGCATTTTTTCAGCAAGATCCATTTGGAGAAGGAGCACCTATGATCACCGGATTACAAGTCTTTGAGGAATTTAAATTTCAGCGCACCACACATTGGTTGGTCAAAACACCGGTTTCAAAATGCAGGGGAATTGAAATCGACGAAACTATGCTGTGTTCGGGAACCACTATCGGCACGCGCACGGCGATGCTAGACTATTTGGAAACAATGCATCTTGAGATGGTAGATTGGATGAAAGATCCCAAATGCTGTTGTAACCCCATCAATGGGGACGACCAATCTATACATAACTATCTGTTCTATACAGGACGATTCTCCGATGCTCAAGCCATCAAAAATCGCATGGGCATTGTTCATACTGTTGGTCACCAGGCTACATTGATTTTCCGAGCCCATGAGGCCTCATTAGCAAGAGACTTCCCGCAAAATTACACCAAAGACATGGCATACAAGATTCCACTATCTGCAACCAGTTCAGACCAGAGCAAATCCTGGTTGGGAATCGAGTATGACTTGGTGGACAAAGACGGTTACTTTTTGAATTATGACGGAAGCCGATCTCGGGTCGTCCATCAATATGACCGCTTCCGATCGCAAATTAAGAAGTGGCTCAAAGCAAACATTGGTGACAAGTGATGAGCTTCATCTATAGTGGATGTTTACTGGTTACAGCTATCTGTAAGCAACACATGCTCTGATGGACCACAGTGCAAGAATTTTTTTAAAAGTGTAGTATGGGATGGTTATTTTGACTCAAGAATTATGTAAGGGTGTTAGAGTATGTTGGTGTGATGAGTGATAGTAACGTGCATATTTGGGCTCATAATCTGTTAGAGTATGTTGGTATGATGAGTGATAGTAACGTGCATATACTGGAAACTATGGCTTAGGTACTACATTAGGCCATATATCACTCACAAAGGGGCTCTGATCACTGGAGGCAATCGGAACTGATTGTCCAGATAAGCTCAGCAAGATGGGGTAATTTCCTAAATAGTGAGTTAATGTACCTGTTACTGAAAGATAGCAGGACAATAACGGGGTTGAAGAGTTGCAGCTGTTGCAAAAGGAAGATAATCAAAATTATTATACATAAGCTATTAGTTGGCCTTAGCCAATAATTCTACTCAATTGAGTCAACTCGACACAGGGGATTCAATTCAGTCCCCTCGCGAGGACACTCTCCGAGTGTCATTGCGTTCCATTGAATACCTATCATCAATTTTTCATCCAGACAGCTTATTTGGATCCAAGATGATCCAGGGAAACTTAACAACCCACATACCTGACTCGGTCAGGAGGACTGCCATTTCATCAAAAGTCATCCATCACAAGGTCCAATAATCCATCTCTCTTCTGTCCAGAAGGTACAATATTTGTAGCTAGATTGGCTGGATTCTTCTCCGAAGGGACATGACCAGTGATCGTTTCACTGGCAGCAACAGCTTCATGGCATGCATGGTATGCAATCGAATTACATTTCTTCTTCAACGTAGAATCAGGTCTTTCTGGGTTGTGAATAACAGATATATTGTCTCCATAGGTGTAGGTAGGCCCATCCATGGGAATTCCTATCCTGCATAGCTTATACCCCAGTCCCCTCATTCAATCCATTCCTTCTGTCAATGCACAAAACTCAGCTCCAAAAACCCTGGTCCCAAACCGAGCCTGTTTCTGTTAGAAATAAGCAGACTGCTGTGCGCTAGTATAGTGAGGGAGTGCCTTTAGAGCTCAGAACAAACTCTCTGCAATCTAAATTTGTAATCGGCTGTACAAAACTTCCACAGTAATGGTTCTCTTGTCTGCAAAGTGGCCCGTCTTCTTTTCCCCGGGCAGCTTTGCTTACTACTTTGCGGGTGTGCACGTGAAAACTGAGGTGTACGGTGGGGTTTGGTGTTCGGGTGTCAACAATTAAGCTATTTATTTATTATACATTTGCCTGTAGCTCTGTGTCGCACCATGTCGCAGTTTGACCACCAAAAATGGTTCCTTTTTGCTCCGACTCATTCGACCGTTTGAATGTCTTAGCTGATTCCCCAACTGAGACTCTGTCGACCAACTCTGATGCTCGACTCAGTCGACTAAATATTTCTTCTTAGTTTTTTAGCCTTTACGGCACGTTATGTCTGCCTTCTCCACCATTTGCAGACCTTACCCTGTACATTTATATTAGGTATACTTTGAGTGAAATTGTTCCCGTTTGTTAATGTTTGGCTTGAATTGATGATTCAATCACAAAAGTTAGTTCAACAATTTTCCTTTTGGGAATCCCTTGTTTACAGAACTCAATCCAACTTCTACGAGGACTCCCTGTTGATTACAGTACTTTGGGACATCTTGTAATATTCCCTACTGCATCGTACACAACATCAATATTCCGCTTGTATAGGGTCATTCCCTTTCAATGTGGATATAGATTATCCAACAGACTTGCGTCAAATTGCTGACATCGATCGTGTGTGTCAAAAATTTGTACTTGACTAGTTTTTCAAGGAACGTAAAAACTCATCTTTGAACTTATCTTTAGCAGCAGTATTGGTGCTAGCAATAGCAGCATACGCTTTGGTCTTGAGTGCAAAATTTTGGAAGCAGGCAACAACATATAGATCTTGCAGGACTTCAACCTGTCTCAAGAATCAGCATCAAGTTTTCTGTTGTTCCTTGCCGCATAGCAAAGAACTTTTGGTTAGCTTCCCATGAATCCAAGAAATCATACTCAGCATCAGCACTCTTCTTCATGAATTGTTCAATATGCTTCAAGAGTCTGCCCACGAGAATTTTTTTCGGACAAGAATAAGCCGCCACCGCCATGACCACATTGGTGCATCAACAACGATCGTATCTTATCATCAAGTACTTTAGCCTACTCACTCCATCTCTTCTTCAATCAATCATTATCAAACCATATATCCTGTAACCATCTAACATCATGGTAGAGTTGACAACCGTGGGAAAAAGAACCACTCGCGCCTCAAAGGGGAAGGAAAACGTCAATCCAAACGTCAATCCAAAAGATGCTGTCAAAGTAACTCATAGCATGACTGTTTGCAAGAAAGCAGCAAAGCGGAAAGTATCAGATGTCGAAGAGCTCAATAACGCATACAATGAGCGAGGCAAAACAATTTGCCAGCTCAAGGAAAAGCATGAAGTGCTCAAAAGAAAATTGTCAGCGAAGAACCAAGAATATGTGGAGTTGCAGCAAGCATTGGAGGAACTGGAGGAGGACCAGAAACGTCAGATGAAGGATATTGACGCTCAAATAAACAAACTGGAAAAAGAACTAGCACAAAAGGGAAGGGAAAACAAATCCTTGGAGAGCATAGTGCACGCAAAGCCACAGAACAAAATTTGAAGAAAAATGAACAAATCTTTGCAGAGAAAGGTCGTGTGAGCAAAGCAGAAGCAGACAATGGCGTCCTCAAAATCAAGATTTCATCTCTCAGGCCAAGTCGGCAATTCCGATCTGCAAGGACAAGCAATGGCCAATGTCGGTACTTCCGCCGGTCAAGCCGCCAATTCAGATGATGCCAACGATGATGCTTTTGCTTTGGCGGGATTGATGAATGGAGCTGGAAGCAACAGTGCCTAGGGAGTTTCACAATACAACATGTGAAGCTTCTTGACTACTACTATGTGTGTTGTGTACACAATGCTCTTGGACAAGTCAACAACAAAGGTTTTCATATCGACGCAAAGCCACCTGTCTGATGTGAGTGGTAGGTAGAAGAAATTTTACTTATTTGTTTCTCACGAGTCGACCTTCATTCAATATCAATATTTAATGGCGCTATGCAAGAAGATTTCATGGGAATCTTCTTTCGCTGCCAGGGGACAAACACTTTTGGGAAGATAGAAAATAATAAGACTAGAGCTGTCAGATGGACTTGCTCTACAGACCTGAATGGGAGCCTCAACGCCCTGTCTGTTTCAATGAGCAATCCCTGAGATCGAATCTACGTCGGCTATGGTCTGCCTTTGGGCACCAGCGACTCTGGGCCTCAGCCTCTGGAATAAGCAGTAGTCTTATTCAATCAAAGGTCTTACTTTATTATCTCCTATACTTGCTTGGACCTTAACGTCCACAATACTATTCTTGCCAGAACTCAATCGATAGTGAGACTCTCGATTGCAGTTAAAAATCATCATTCAAATTCTCACAATTCTCATTCTTGATCACCTTTCTACGTGATGACGCGTTCTGACATACTGCGTTTCATATTACGCCCGATCGACACTCACGTCACTGCTGCGTCATGTCACATAGACCATTGATCAATAATCGACCAATATGATTGCTCAATATCTCAATACGTCCAACACACTCCTGTCGTTTCACCAGCGACTCCAGTTGATGGAACAACAAAAATACTTCTCAATACAAATAAAATATCCAAGATCGTCAATCAGGACTAATCCTGGTCACCTTGAATTACAGCCCGGAATTTGCAAAACTTTTCGCCCTGTAACGGCTTTGTCATATAATCTGCCCACATTTCATCAGTCGGCATGTGTTCAATAGTAATGTTGCCCAACTTGACTTGATCTGTTACAAAGAAGTATCGAGTATTTAGCGCACGGCTCCTTTTGCCTGCGCTTGATCTCCCATTTGTTTCAGGTAGGATCGAACTCTTGTTATCTTGATATAGTATATTCTTCTCGATTGGGTAACCTTGTTCTTCCATAAATAAGCGTGTCCACAAAATATTGGACATCGCATCATGGACTCCAATTAGTTCAGCATGTGTACTGCTGTCACAATTCAATTTCTGTTTTTGTGTAATTGCTTGCACTGCTCCAGTGCCCATTGTCATCACAGCTCCAGTATGACTCTTGAAGTTTGGATGAACAGCAAATGATGCATCGACATACCATTTAATCACGCGCAAATCATCAGCGCTCAATGTCAGATGCCATCCTTTCGTAGAATGAATGTATCTCATCAATCAAACTAGTTTGTGCCAATCACTCAGATTTGGAGATTGCACCCTCAATGCGAAAATCGATACTGCCGGACTGATGTCCAGACGAGCACCTTTTGACAAAAATAACGATTTGGCAACAAACGAATGGAACACTTCATGTCGTTCCTTCTCAAGCGGTGCTCCTTTACCTTTCTCCAGTAGATTATTTCCAGCTGGTGTCTCCTGGATCTCATTGTCCTTAAACTTGACTGGAAACTCACTCAGCATGCGATCCACATAATCATCCATGCGAATTTTCATTTTTCCTTTCTTCGATATGATCCCTGCACTGCCAACAGGATGGTTAATGGCAAACAATTGACAATCAGGTTCCATGTTGATGACGTTTTGGCGAGTCACATGGAACAACAAGTACTTGAAGATTTTTTCACATGGGTGAATGAGAAATATGGTGGCTTAAAAGAGGTCACATGCACTAGAGGTAAAGTTCATACTTATTTGGGTATGACATTGGATTTTTCGAAGAAAGGAAAAATGAAAATTCGCATGGATGATTATGTGGATCGCATGCTGAGTGAGTTTCCAGTCAAGTTTAAGGACAATGAGATCCAGGAGACACCAGCTGGAAATAATCTACTGGAGAAAGGTAAAGGAGCACCGCTTGAGAAGGAACGACATGAAGTGTTCCATTCGTTTGTTGCCAAATCGTTATTTTTGTCAAAAGGTGCTCGTCTGGACATCAGTCCGGCAGTATCGATTTTCGCATTGAGGGTGCAATCTCCAAATCTGAGTGATTGGCACAAACTAGTTTGATTGATGAGATACATTCATTCTACGAAAGGATGGCATCTGACATTGAGCGCTGATGATTTGCGCGTGATTAAGTGGTATGTCGATGCATCATTTGCTGTTCATCCAGACTTCAAAAGTCATACTAGAGCTGTGATGACAATGGGCACTGGAGCAGTGCAAGCAATTACACGAAAACAGAAATTGAATTTTGACAGCAGTACACATGCTGAACTAATTGGAGTCCATGATGCGATGTCCAATATTTTGTGGACCCGCTTATTTATGGAAGAACAAGGTTACCCAATCGAGAAGAATATACTATATCAAGATAATAAGAGTTCAATCCTACTTGAGACAAATGGGAGATCGAGCGCAGGCAAAAGGAGCCGTGCGCTAAATATTCGGTATTTCTTTGTGACGGATCAAGTCGAATTGGGCAAGATTACTATTGAACACATGCCAACTGATGAAATGTGGGCAGATTACATGACGAAGCCGTTACAGGGCGAAAAGTTTTGCAAATTCCGGGCTGTAATTTAAGGTGACCAGGATTAGTCCTGATGAACGATCTTGAATATTTTACTTGTATTGAGAAGTAATTTTTTCGTTCCATCAACTGGAGTCGCTGGTGAAACGACAGGAGTGTGTTGGACGTATTGAGATATTGAGCAATCATGTTGGTCGATTATTGATCAATGGTCTATGTGACGTGACGCGGCAGTGACGTGAGTGTCGATCGGGCGTAATATGAAACGCAGTATGTCAGAACGCGTCATCACGTAGAAAGGTGATCAAGAATGAGAATCGTGAGAATTTATAAGATGATTTTGAACTGCAATCGAGAGTCTCACTATCGATTGAGTTCTGGCAAGAATAGTATTGTGGACGTTGAGGTCCAAGCAAGTATAGGAGATAATAAAGTAAGACCTTTGATTGAATAAGACTACTGCTTATTCCAGAGGCTGAGGCCCAGAATTGCTGGTGCCCAAAGACAAACCATAGCCGACGTAGATTCGATCTCAGGGATTGCTCATTGAAACAGACAGGGCGTTGAGGCTCCCATTCAGGTCTGTAGAGCAAGTCCATCTGACAGTAGTCGCTGCAACAGTTCTTGGATCAAGGCCATATGTTCCTCGTAGGAATTGGAGAACAGGAACACTCCCAAAAAGTTGTAAATCTGTAAAAATCGGCTGATTCAGAATTTCTATAGGTCATGGTATTGCAGTGGCAGTTGAAAATATTTATCGTTGAAATGAAACAATAAGAGGAAAAGATTGGTATTTCTTCTCATTTATAGGCAGTTCTGCAGAGAATCAACGACTATATTCTTTCGGTAAAACTTTTGCAATTGAAATAACAGTATATTTAAAAACGGGACTCTCTGCGACATATCAATGTGTGTCCCATTCAATTTGAATGATTCGAATGTCCTAAGTGACGGCTCTACCACAATTCACCACATTCTACCACATTTCACCATCTCTTGCATCAGCTCGAAGGGCAGACGAACGGCGCCAACCAAAAGATATCGGGACTACTTGGAGATTCCGGAATTGCACGCGTGCGCCCGTCAAGTCGGTACCGCTCTACTAAAGCCACGCCGGATGCACTGCCGAAAATTGAAGGATGAAACTGCCATTCTCTTTCTACCCGAGTAGTGCTCGAGTATACTAGACAACAACACGAGGACAAGTGCACTGGTCTATCGGTTTCAGGCTTCAAATAGTACATCTGAAGTTATCGTGATTACACGCTTGGTTTTTTGTGGCCGAAAATTGAAGGATGAAACTGCCATTCTCTTTCTACCCGAGTAGTGCTCGAGTATACTAGACAACAACACGAGGACAAGTGCACTGGTCTATCGGTTTCAGGCTTCAAATAGTACATTTGAAGTTATCGTGATTACACGCTTGGTTTTTTGTGGTTTTTTCGTAGTCTGTTCCTAATCTCCGATCATGACTGACTATTTGAAGAATTTTAAAGCAGCGTCTTCCCGGAAGTCACCTCCTCAGGTGGTTACGGTGGCTGCTGATGATAGTTCTATTATGTCGGGGGGTTCGGGGGGGGGGTTGCGAAGAAGATTGGATTGCCGGTTAATTCACGGGGTTCACTCGGGATCGAGGATTACGAAGGTATCAGACAAAATGTTCTGTCTGGTGTAATTATTAGTGGTATTGAGGTGGGTGGTTCCAGCAGCGAGGTCAAGGCCGAAACCAAGCAGAAATTTTCGGGAGGGAAAGCGTCGGATAAGAAGACTTTGTTTTACTTGAAGGACGCACCAGGTGCAACCATTTGCTGTGTGTCAGTTTCCTCATCCGCTGGCGGGCAAAAAGCTTGTGGAGAGAAGAAAGACTCAGTAACGAACTTGTGTGATATTGCCTTGCACAGATCGTTAGTCCCGATTGATAAATTGCAGTTTCCAGCTTTGTACTGCCGCTGCAAAAAGATGGGAAGAGGAGGGGAGACTTTCTATTGGGACTCTATGTCACATGTGAAATTCAGTGAGCTTCCTTCCGCTAAGGCAACACAGCTCCTTGGCTTACCAACAAAGACACCAAGGCCGGGTGGACAACTCGCATTCACGAGTTGAGAACTACAAGTGCGACCGGAAGCCAGCCTCCACAGGCCTCCAGAACACTTAAGTTTGAAGTGGATGAGATCCTGACATCACGATCAAAGTCCGATCGTACGTGTCAAAACTTTGTACTTGAATAGTTTTTCTTGGAACGTAAAAACTCATATTTCATCATATCCCAACACACTCCTGCCATTGTGACAATCACCATTGGCAGCAACATGATCTCATTCACTGTTTATTTTGTTTTGTTTTGTATTTTGAACATATACATACTTGTCTGACCTAGTCCTGTGGACCAAGAATCAGATCCCTGAACTTGCGAAACTTCTCACCTTGCAATGGTTTAGTCATAAAATCCGCAATCATATTGTCAGTTGGACAGTATTCGATCTTAACATTTCCTTTCTCAACTTGATCTGTGATAAAGAAATAACAAATATTGATAGCTCGGCTTCTTTTGCCCGCAGGAGCACGTGTTGAAATTGCTCTCTTGGAGACCATTCATTGGAAACTCCTTGATGGAAGCAGTTCGACACGTCCGATCGGACAGACGGACAAATGTCCGTTTGGTCCGTTTTATTCGGGGGATTCCTATGAGTCGGTTTTTGCAGGGAATCTGAAAACATGGAATTGTGTGCTTGGACTATCAAACGTCTGAGCGCCACGAAAATCCCATACTGAATCCTGCGGGAGTTCTGTACGTGGGTTTTGTACCGGCCTTTCTGGATTGCAAACATCCAGTAAAGTTTTGGGAAATTTGAGTTTTCGTGCAAGGCTTTTGCTTTGCCCATTCCATGTAGATAACAAGTCTTTTAGAATAGTTATTTCCTGTAGAGATGATTATTTCCTATTAGGCGGATCGGAGATCGCTATGGTCGGTGCCTCTGCATGACGACTTGATGGGTCGCATGTTGGCACGGCTGGTTGGCAATGATGGCTTTATGGGCCACAAAGTTGTCAATCGGTTTGGACGACGACAAGCCTGTCGCTTGTCTGATGTCTGCCAGAACCGAAATCCAACTTTATCTATCTTGAAAAAAGGGTGGGGAGAATGGTAAGCTTTTCGTAACGGTTGCATGAGCTGATTGTTGTATTTCCACCGCTCCCACCGTGTCTTTCTTCTTCCCATTGAACTTGCAAAAGTGCGACGCGCCAAGAGCCAAGAAGGGCCAAGAGCGGACGGTCCGTTTTATTTGGGGGATTCCTATGAGTCGGTTTTTGCAGGGAATCTGAAAACATGGAATTGTGTGCTTGGACTATCAAACGTCTGAGCGCCACGAAAATCCCATACTGAATCCTGCGGGAGTTCTGTACGTGGGTTTTGTACCGGCCTTTCTGGATTGCAAACATCCAGTAAAG